AGCAAAAATGTAAATGTCATATCCAACCATCTGCAAGGCCCTCGATCATCAAGACATTCCTCCTGATTGCTAGTTGCGACACAGATGGGTGCCATCGCTGGGACCTGAGCAATGTGGTAAACGATGCTCAATTTTTCTATAGCCTAGTTAGGGACCAGCTATCAGACAAGATGCGCGTTCTTAGCGATATTGTTGCAGTCACCAACATTTCTCAAAGCACATGCTGCTTCTTCATAGCCGTTCTTAGATCAAAATTTGTCATTACCAAGACGGTAGTAGCACGTCGCGTACAACTATTGTCTACGCCAGCCAACACATGTCTCGTGTGTCAGCCAATCCAATCCAAAATACTCTCGTATTTTGTTATTGTCGCAGGAGGGATTTCTGGCAATCTAGAATTCATCAAATGAGGATAAGAACGGAAGAAAAAAAATATAGCACCATCTTGTTCACTAATTGTAAGTATGCCTATGAGCAACTGGAGCGCGCGCATCTGAGATGGACAGCGCCCACTACGTCACCATTGAGTCACTTTGCCTTCATGTGATGCAGCATCCAAGTGCGTGGTCAGCATATGCTACAAAGAAATCATCAATTTGGATGCAAAATATCCGACAGAATGACTTACCTGCAGATTCAGCGACAGGCAGAAACCCCTTGGTCACTGGACAGCAATACGTTGTCTTGGAGCAATTTACAATGCTGAAAACATAGGCTCGGCTGCAGACAGAATTTAGATAGGTTAAGACACAGCTGAGTATGAGGGCACTGCCAGTGGTGAATGGGGCGCCTCGTCCTTGTAAGCATTCTTGAGTGATCGAAAGAACTTTCACGTCCCACTTAGCATTGTGGGCCCTTGTGGGTGAAAGACTGGGCGAGATGAGAGTGCTGGTTGATCAATGTACATACGTCAGAGCATGCGCATCTGAGATAGACTGCGCCCCCCCCTTGACTAGCTTTGCCGCCCAAGTCTGTGGTCAGTGTATACTACACAGCGTTAGCCCTGATGGGACGAGTGTGAATGACGTGTACCTTGGCCTAGTCCCACCGCTATCCCATCTACCATTTATCTCATCATGGTCCACACCCAACGTTTAGTCCTCGATTCCAGCGTCATTTCTGTGAAGTAGTGTTCGATATATCCTTTTTTCTCTTTGCAGGCTGACGTTTTGTAGGCACACACGTTGGCGACACAGACAATATTGCTGACCCAGGCATGGAGCTCACACAAGAGTGGGACCGCGAGCTTGCCGCCAAAGATACTGATCTCGAGGGTGGTATGGATGTCATTGGTGAAGGAACAGGTAAAAGGAAGATCGGCCGATTGACCAGGCCGGCAAATGCTCCACGCTGCTGTTCGAATCTCGTGAGACTCTTGAGTGCACCTGGCAGCAGCTCGCATGTGTGTGCACTAAGGATGCGATGATTGCGCGAATGAGCGGCTCGCTTGCACGCGCGATTCATTTCAGCAAGTTGGAAAGTATTTGTTTTCACCTTTCTTTCCATATGATAAAAAAGTCACATTTCGGAGGCACAGAAATTGTATTTTTAAAATAATACATTTTCATCAGACGGAAACCGGGGCGACAACGTGTCCTTTTTATGTATCGAAAAGATGAATGAAATTTAAAAATCTCTTATAATATCCCTTATATGGAAATAGTGCGCCAAATTTAGGATTTTAGATATTCGGAAATCTCAAGGAAATATACGATTTTCTTCAAATTTTCACATGACAATTATTTTTACTTTCTGCCAGGTGGAAATCCTTTGGCGGAAACTTTTTCAGCTCTGCAAAGCATTTCCGTCAGACAGAAACTATTCGGTGACAGGAGTGACATGGTATGCAATGTCAGGGCTGTGGAACCAGTCGTTCCTCATTGGGACCTGGTGCCAGTAACACCACCACCACCACCACCTCAATGCCGTTACATTCTCCGCGAGTATCATCTCGCTGTCTCTGCTATGATAATGTGCATAGATGCATGGCAACGCAGCCTGTCAAGTTCGATAAAACGGTTACTTGACGGTCACTTCCAGCTCCTCGTTTGCATCAGTTGGAAGTCCAGTCTGACCGATCAGGCCTCCCACGCATCACGGCCGTTCTAATCTAAAAGGATGACACCATCACATGGTATTCAAGTTGACCTGCAGTGCAATTACAGTAATAGTCACCTTCCAATAGTTGATCCACATCCATCATCAGAAAAGGGACAATAACACTCAGCGTCCTGTCACACGTGAAACGAGCTCTGCAAATGCTGTTTCATCAAGTCTGGAGTAAATACCAGCATCGTGCGTTTCACCGATGATTACGCTTGTGGTAAGCACCGTTCGGGAATTGGGACACGTCGATACAGTGAGTATAGAAGTCGAAGACAACCAGTACTAGTATACTACGGGAACAAGTCACTCTGAACCTATTTTGTTTAACACCGCATGCCATCCCGTTCCTGGCAATGGTTTCATACTTCGTGCTGGTAATGTTATAGAATATATGGCACAGTGGCACTTAGCCACACCCAGCAACCAAGTTCACTCCTTCTCTGGAAAGGGGCGATAATTTCCAGGACGGTACCTCAGAAGATTGTCCCCCACAGAAAGTAAAAGTATATCTCGACTCGGAAGCGTAGCTTGTTCCGGGGTGAACGATTGAAAATCCGGCACCTGTGCATTTTGGGAAGATCAAATGTATCGCTGACTGAACGCATCCTCTGGGAGTGCATTTCCGCGTTCTGCGGCTGCAATAATACATGAAGGACACAATAAGTCAAGGTACATTGGTTCTCCGATGACCGTAAATGTAGTATGCTGCCGCTACAGATTCATAAATCCTGAGCCCTGGACTGTCCGACGATAAGGATCCTTTTTGGGATGGAAATTCACTTCATTTATGCAGTTAACACCGTAGGAAATGCTTCAAGTCAACAAAACAATCTAAAAGTGAAATCACAGACTCGGAAACACAAGAGGACCCAACGACGGACCCTTCCCCGTCATACCTCACTGTTCATTGAGCGCAAGTGAAGAATTTGGCTCGTCACTAACCTCAGCTTTATCAGAATCGCTATACTAAAGCCTACATTCCCTAGTTACTACTACGCTGTTCACCACCACATTCACAAACGAAATAGCATGGTTTAGCTTCACCCTATGCGCAGCGGCAGCGAGAGTCAAAATACATTACATAGTAAGGTCATTACAATTCAGATACAAGTAATTGAACCCTGAACTGCCGTCTCAAGTAGTATCAAAGGATTCGATTAATGACGGCGATGTTGCCTGTACACCATATCCGAGTGTCATGAGTCATATGCAAGAGCTCTGTAGAATCCAAGAAAGTACTGCTCAAGGTCGTCTTGCATTCAACACAAAATAAAAGTTTAGATGTGCCATTACAAAAGCAGGTAAGAAGCTGCAAAGTCATTATCTAAGACTCGAATCGGGAGCAGCATGAACAGCAGCCCTTACATCATGTCCCGAGTACAATTGATTCCCGAAAGACAGCCGCCCATTAGAAATGTATGCGGTGGTAAAGACGTGGTATGATACAAAGTTATGCGATAACTGTGGAACTCAAGATGATATACTACAATAAACGGTGACGAACCCTGCTCGTCGGTCGCTGAGGCCTGGGGGCTATTTGGTGCGAATATCCGATACACGATCCCAGCACGGCCATCTATTCCCTTCCTCATAATATTCAACGCGCCGTCGCTTCGGCTCCCGGTCCGAATCCTCCACACGTCGATATGGATCCAACCCGTACCCAGGGTCGCGCCATTCAGTACACACTCTGGGCACATCACTGAAGCTTGCAGTATGCAGCTTGAAACTTGGCTCCTTCGCGCCTTCGTCCTCGTCTTCAGATTCGGATGAGGACGGGCACCAAACATAGGCGCCCCGGTTTATTTTGGAACGGTGCGAGGATAGAGGGGAGATAGGCGATGGGGACAGCGAAGGAGTGTGTGAAGAGGTCGAAGAGGCGGGCGCCCGTGGACGCTCTGGGATTGTCGTTGGAGGTATCGGTATATTAGGCGGAGCGGCGCGATCCGGCACGGCGGGATATTGGCGGCTGATGGCGGGCTGGCGGGGCGGCATGGTGTGATGATAGGACGGTTGTACGGACATCGTCTGGGGCTGCTGAGGAAATGACGATGACGAAGATGGATGTGCCTCCTTCGGATAAACGCTTGCCGGCCCGCCCGTCATTGAATGGTTCCGGTAGTGCCTCTGCATGTTCGAGTTCACGTTGAACGACCTTCCGCACCCGGGAAATGGACAGTGAAACGCTGTGGTATACGTAAGCGCCGAACAGATAACGGAGCTGTGACTCACGAGTGTCCCCTGTGTGGGTGTTCTGGTGGATTCGTAGGCTACTAGGGCGGTTGAAGCGCTTGTGGCAGATCTTGCAGATATGTCGGCGCATCTGGTCAGCGAGAGAGTCGTCAGTCGTGTATTCATGGGTCAGCTGGGTCTCGGAATTGGTGTGTAGGATGAAGACGGTCGCGCAGAGGTCCGATGATGAGGACGATGGCGGAGGAGCAGGTGGTGGTCGTTGCTGTAGGAGGTAATCTGCTTACATCAGTATCATCCGACATGCGAGTACGGCCAGGATTTACCAGGGAACATCTCGTGTATACTCGGCAGAGCAGTCATGTTGGGTTCTGTCGTGGTGGTGGTCAAAGAAGAAGGGACGAAAAATTATGTTGTAATGCGTGCCTGGATCAGCCGGCGGCCAATTCTGGCTATGATCTGAGCGTGGATCGGCGTGTTTTTTTGCTGCGGATCTTTCCCCTGTTTCTTTGTCATCTTCAGTGCACGGCATCTCTGCCATCCGTTGAAGGAATTACTGGACCCTAAAACAGATGCAATGAGTGATAGAAAATACCCAGAGCCAGGGATTGCTGATTCGTTGATCAAATTCGGGATCAAATCGTCGGTTCGTCATCTCTTAGCTTGCTTACCATTGATTGATCCTAATCATAAGGAGTATAACGTCGGATATGGTGTAACGGCTAACATTACCGCCTTTCATGTGCCATCCACAGAAAATAGTGCGCGGTAGCTCGGGGTTCGATTCCCCGTATCCGAATGCGGTTGTTCGCATTTCTTTTTGGTCCTTTTCGAGGCGGACCCCAGTATCTATTTGCTCCTTCCCGATCTTTCTCATTCACGGTTCTTTCACAGTATCAAATACAGCCTCAACTTCAAGGAAGACATCACTTCTCACACTTGTAGTAGAGCATCGTGGCGTCGTACTTGGGAGTTTATCACTTCCACCTGGTTTTGATGCTGCGGTAGTGACATAGATGAGGTGACAATGATCGTCCTTCAAGTTTGTAGTGTGTTTCCCCATGAAACAGCATCAGCACACGGAAACACCTACAATTCGAAGGATCGTTCACCGTCTTAGTCCTTTATTGCCCTGTAAGCGTTAACTGTTGTAGCTTGAGGTCGATTCCCTCCATCCGACTCCGAGGTCATCCTTTGTGAAATACCCAATGCAGGTTCACCGTTCAAAATTCAGCGATGTGTATTTCGGTGGTATGCCTTCGAGAAATTTCGGCCAATATGACTGACTCGCGGTACTATGGCATACGTCAGTATGCATCAAGCGGACGAACTCTGGTATGAAGACTTGAACAACAGCAGACCGTTAGGAGTACAGGTGCCAAGGTCAGCCAATTCTTCTGTTATACAGAGCCCAATTTCGCTTAAGTATATGAAAGCCGCGAGGAGCAAAGAAATCAGCAAAGATACGAGGAGCTTAATCAGGTTAGCATAATAAAAGAATCCTCAAAAGGCCCCGCCGGTAATGAGCTGAAGGTTGAAAAAACAAAGTACAGAGCAGGTGCACGTCGCTTTGAGGTAGAGCCTGAGTTCCTCGCGGAGATCTGGAACCCGATTGGAACCAACACAGAAAGTTATATGAACGACAAGTATGGTAAACATGGATAAGAGATGATTTAAGATGAAATACTACGAACTAGTGGGACCAGCGTTCTTGTGTTATCGAAAATGGTCTGACAGCTAAGAATACCACCCTTTTATCAATATTGCAGTTACTCGGGGTTCGATTCCCTATACCCAAACTAACACTTCCGATCTGGGTCTTTGTTTGTATCTTGGTTCCACTTTCCACTTCAAGTCGACACGATTGGTGAGTCAGAATTTAATCTCGTTTAGACTTTCGACTTCGACTTGCGTCGGGTGGATTATATCCTTCAGAAAACATTCCCCGTGCAGGCAAAGAACCTGCGAGAAACAACGAGATGAAACGCAGATGCTCTAGCCTTCGGACGAGAAGCAAAGGAGGATTTCATGACTCGAAATCAGGCAGCGCTGAGCCGAATGTAAGGAAACTATGTCACGTTTTATTGTCCGCTCTCACAACACTAAGCGGTAGCATAGACCCGAATGGAGACGTTACTGTAGAGGTGAATTGTTGGATGTCGCCTTTATACCGGGTGTCACATTAAGGGTGGCGATTCGTCCCTCTGCCATATTGCTGAAAATGTTAATGACCACAAGATCCAACGAGCGAGAGTAGACAAGACCATTCAGAATCTTTATAGGAACGTTGTTCAATCGCACGATGACGGATGTGGAGTGTCCATTTTGGGTACATATAACTGTAATTGGGCTCAAGGTCTACTGGAAATCCTCAAACCAAGATGACATGGATATGGCAGATCACCTATAAATCAATTTTTAGAGAGAAAAGAATGCAAAGTAAAGGGGTGTACATTTGCGCATTCCATAGGTTTATGTTGGATTTGTCTGGGCATACAGCCATTCGGAGCCATTCATGTACGTATGCAATGCTCCGCATCCCGTATGTATATCCTGCAGATCCCAAATGAGCCTCAGTTGCAAATCATGAAATGGAATTAGAAAATTAATCAGGTAGCGTCTTAGTAGTTTCCTGGTGGAGTCGTACCTGCTCGTCACTGCATAGTTGCTTCATGTCGACAGTTCCTTCCTTGGCAAGGTTGTAGGATCGGCAGTTATACAATGCTTCTGTCGCACCGTATTTGTAGGAATAGTCGCGGACTTTGTTGACGACGTAGAGCTCGTCAGTGCTTGCTCTGTTGGCACTGGTTCCACTCGCTGACTAGAGGATGGTATCCAAATAGAAGTCGAAGGTGTAGGTAGAGGATTGACAAGTCGTACAGTATTGGGGATATTTTTTTACGATGGCATTGTTGGCGCTATGAGCGACGTTGAGCGTAGTCAGAGAAGGAAAGGTCGTTTGGCGAGAGGGACATATGAGGTTTTGGTAATTGATAAGGCTTTGGCTTTCTCCAGTTGAAGCTTGAGCCCTGGTCTTGATGAATCCCCACTGTCGGGCTTGACTTTTTAGTGCTTGGCCCAAGCCTTGCAAATCGTTAAGTCGTGATACAACCTGGAGGCATGAAGAACTTCAGGAGATGACGCCTCCGAGCTCTGCAAGTGTTTCTTTGTGTTCGAAGTTGACGTCTTTGTCTATTCAGACGACGATGTAGTGGCGGGTATTGAATCCGAAAGAGAACTTCCAGTGAGCCAACCGGATGGTTCGGATCGGAGCAGAGCCGCCGGCCGAAACTGGAAGATGTTTGCTCGTGTTTTTCTACGTCTGAACGCTCCTTCACCCTACCACGACAACCTACACCCCGGGCCCAAGATGCTTATAGCGACGATGCCAGAAAACACAATTTGACTAATTCTCTCTACTTCATAGAAACGCCGCCGCTCTCAGTTTTTAATCGTGATTCTTGGATTAGACGTCTCTCCTGGCTTCTGGTTACAGCTTGGTGTCGGGGCCCCTTGGTTTTTGTAACGAAACAACGACAGCCGAGGAGCTTCTGCCTCTTGTATGGTTCTCCAACGTTATTTTGCTTTGCAAGGTTTTGACTGGGTGGGTAGGAACAGTATGTGGTGCCCATGATTGTTCACGAACATGCAGAGGCATTCGACAGGTCGGAAATTGTTTTCGAAGCGAGAGCGCGAATTATCGTGATTATTTCTCGTCCCAGCATCAGTTCACGACTTCCACTCCTGTCATCTCTGAGTTTCTGCCCGAAGGAAATGCAAAGTGTCACTGAAAAGGTTTCCTTGTGCAGTTTCCATCTAATCAGAAACTGGCCCACCAAAATCTTAATTGTGACCGACGGAAATTCGTCCACGGAAACTTTTCAGCTCCGCAATACATTTTATCAGATTTCCTTTGTGCCGAAATTGTAGGGGGCCAGGACTCCTTATTCTCGTCCTATCACCCTCAGTCGCCAGTGCACTGGCCCGTTGCTTGCTATCCATGTTCCCCTCATGTTGAACCCTCTGCTGGGACCACTGCATCATTAACAGCAGTAGGTCCCTTGGCACATCACCATCACCATCGTCCTTGTCGTAGGCTCTCCCCTCTATCCTCGCACCGTTCCAAAATTAACCCAGCGCCTATGTATGGTTCCCTCATCCGAACCTGAAGACGAGGACGAAGGCGCGAAGGAGCCGAGCTTCAAGTTACATACTGCAAGCTTCAGTGACGTGCCTAGAGTGTATACTAATGGCGCGACCCTAGGTACGGGGTGGATGCATATCGACGTATGGAAGACTTGACCAGGAGCCGAAGAGACGGCGCGTTGGATACTATGAGGAAGGGAATAGATGGCCGTGCTGGGATCGCGTGTCGATTATCCGCACCAAATAGCCCCCAGGCGACAGCCATGGACGAGCAGGTTTCGTCACCGTTTCATTGTACCATATCCTCTTGAATTCCGCAGTCCCCGCTCGTATAACTTGGTATCATACCACATCTTTACTACGGCACACTTTCAATGGGCTGCTGTTTTTCAGGAATCAATTGCACTCCGGACTTGATGTAAGGACTGCTGTTCATGCCGCTCCGAGTTCGAGTCCTGAATAGTCTCTGCATTTATTTACCTGTGAGTCGGACATTACTAGCCTGTGCCGGCGTTCCCTTGGATTTTTCGCTTCGCCTGAATGCGGCATACTTACTGCCCTACTGCCTCTAACATTGAGGTATGCTTCAACAACATGGCAAATTCCTGGTATACACTATCAACTTTTCCATGCCTCAATTCCGCACTCCGACGCGCTGTTTTGCACATACCGAAAGATGTTGTGGCTTGATTTGGCTTTGGTCCCAGCGCCGCGAGCGACAGGATGGGTTTAGCTTCTCTCGGCTGTTATATACGTCGTCTTCCTGTTGTTCCCGAGCCGGGCTTCACAGCCTCGTCTTTTATTTGCTAGGCTAGCGACAAGGAAATGCAGCAAATCCGACGTAATACACGGACCATTAAAGTCACTGTAATGCACAGATGCGTATTTTTATGACACAAAAGAATTGGGATTCGAATCACGAGCTGCCACCACTATAATAGAAGACATGATGAGAAGTGCCAATACCATATACGAGTAGCGTGTCACAAAGGACCGCCTTAGAGAATACGGGCAAGGAAATATTTGAGTTCCGGTCTGTCTTACAGCCTCGGATGCAGACAGCTCCTGTAATAATACTACCTATAAAAGAAACGGTAGACTGTGAATGTGGTCTAGTTCGGGCAGGGTTTTCGGGCTTCCTGAGCTCTCCAAAGCCCTTTACAAAGACCGAGCCTTTTAGGGTAGAGGGTCCAGCATTAACACTTGCTATAGAATGGTTGCATAATGTTGAGGCTGATGAAAATGGATGTTGGAGGCGTGGTTTCGAGCTGTGTAGTGTTTCTCGGGTCGGGCTTCAAGCCCGGCATATACTACTATCATTTCACCGTCGTCCACGTCCGAACTTGCTTCTACTTTCAAGATAGCGCGTCTGGTATTATTCATGCCACGACAAATGAAGATATCGGGTGTTATAGAGTGTAGTCAGAAGAAAGAACCGCTCCCTGTGTCCATGTATAATTCTGTGCCGGACAGAGTGCGGACTATGTAATGCTGAAGCATTTCATTCAGAAGTTAAAAGAGCGCGACATGTTATAGCACCTACGTAAGTAGAGGCAATGAAGGATCAGAGCACAGGTTTGCGCCGGTAAAACTTGTGTGCATCTGGCTTGATGTTATGGGGAACAGTAGACTGGCAGCTAACGAGACACCTGG